GCTCCCTGTTTCCCCCCTTAATCTACAGTTTGAACTCTCTTTCTTAATGACCTCATCTATGTGATGGCTTTAGTAATAGGTTATAAGCAAATCACTCCCAAGTGTTATATACAGTTCAGACTTTCATCTGGTCCGCAACTCCTACTCATTTGAAATTTCCTGTGGAATATCTTAAAATATCCTCAGAAACCTAAACGCTATACATGACACCTTCTTCTCCCTTAACCTTCAAATCTCAACCATCATATTCAAGTCATTACCAACGCCAGTTGATTTTACCACCTAATACTTCCTGACTCTATTTCCTCCCAACTCTGTTGTCAGGGCCCTAATATAATGCAGCAGCATCTTTTATTTTAAAAAAACTTCGAGATATTGAGATAATTTTAGATTTACATGAATTTTAAGAAATAATAGAGACAGATCCTGTGTACCTTTTACCCAGTTTATTCCAATGGCAACATCTTGCAACACAATAGTACAATATCACAACCAGGATATTAACATTGATACAACCAAGATACGGATTATCATCATGATAAGGATGCTTCCTGTTGTCCTTTTTTTTCTTTTTAACAAAAAAAAATCTTTAGAACAGTTTAGGTTCACAGAAAATTTGAACAAATGGTACAGAGATTTCCCATATATCCCCCCCACACACATGTAAAGACTCCCCAATTATCAACATCCACTCCTCTCACCCCAGAGTATATTTGTTACATCTGATGAACCTACATTGACACAATAATCATCCAAAGTCCACAGTTTACATTAGGCTTCCCTCTTGGTGTTATACATTTTATCTATTTGGTCAAATATATAATGACATGTATCCATTATAATGGATAGGATCACACAGAGTATTTTCACTGCCCTACCTCTGTGCTCTGCTTATTCATCTCTCTCTCTGACCATACTCTGGAAACCACTGATCTTTTTACTGTATCCATAGTTTTGCCTTTTCCAGAATGTCATACTCATATATTTGGGATCATATAACATGTAGCTTTTCCAGATTGGCCTCTTTCACTTAGTAATATTCATGTAAGATTCCTCCATGTGTTTTTATGGATTGATAGCTCATTTCTTCTTAATGCTGAATAATACTTCATTGTCTGGATGTGTCACAGTTTATTTATTAGTTTACCTGCTGAAGGACATTTTCTTATCAAATGGTCAGTTGGCCACACCGTTAGTATTTTCTTTTGACCACACTTTCTCATTTTTTACAATATAGATAGGCTGAAAGCTTTCCAAATCTTTAATTTGTTTTCTTTTTTGCTTAACAATTCTGTCTTTGAGTCATTTCTCTTTTTTAACATTGTACTATAGCAGTCAGGAGGAGCCAAGTTGTACCTTCAATACTCTGCTCAGGAAGAGCTTCAGCTAAATATCCCATTTCATCACTTGCAAGTTCTACCTTCCACAAAACACTAGAACATGAACAGAGTTCAGCTAAGTTTTTGCCACTTTATAACAAGGATCACCTTTCCTCCAGTTTCCAACAATCATGCTCCTCATTTCCATCTTAGACATCACCAAAATGATCTTTATTTCTGCCAACATTGTGTTCAGGATGACGTAGGTATTCTTGAAGACATCTAAGGCTCTCTCTACAGCTTTCCTCTTTTCTTTCTGAGCTCTCACCAGAATTCTCCTTAATAGTTTGTTCAAGGCAATGTAGATTTTTTTTCTATCATGTATCTTGGAACTCTTTTAGTCTCTATCAATTATCCAGTTATAAGTGCTTCCATATTCTTAGTTTTTGTTTTATTTTTTTACAGCAGCACTCAACTTCTCAGTACCAATTTCTTAGTCCATTAGGGCTGATATAACAGAATACCATAGACTGCATGGCTTAAACAAACATTTATTTCTCACAGTTGTCGAGGCTAGGGGGTTCAAGATCAAGGCACTGACAGGTTTGGTGTCTGGTGAGGACCTATTTGCTGGTGCATAGGTGGTCATACTCTTGCTCCTTATTATCATCACATTGGGGTTAGAATTTCAACATACAAATTGGGGTGAGGGGGCATAAACATTCACTCTACAGCACAATGTAATATTTTTTTAGAAATTTATTTAAAACATATTTATAAAATAAACAGTGTAGCAACAGAAACAGGGGACAAATAAGTATTCAAAGCTCTCAGAATCTTACCTTTATTCCTACAAATCTATTTGGTGATCTTCAGTTTAACTGTGTTCTGGTGACTTAGCTCCTATTAAGTCTTCACTTTCTTGTGATCATTAACTAGTCACCTCTGCTTAAAATTTAAAAAATTGGATGTTGGAAAAGATGTATTTTATGGTATGGTTCAGGATTACAGGTATTTCTTCATTAATTTAAAGGAAATGAACATACCCCAAAATGTAAACTTGTTGAATATGTCACTAATCTAAAAGTTTGAAAACCTTTCTGTGCATTATACTTGGCAACATGCATTGTTATTTCACATCACTTATCTACGGCCCGACTCACTCTTTCTCTGCAAAAAAAGAGAGCAAACAACCTGTGTCCCTTCATAGTTATCAATGGTTTATTGAGACATCTCTGCTCAGAATTGTTTGTTCCTCACTCACAGTTCTATTTCAGATTACTTTTCAATAATTTGAGAACACTAATGCATTATTTATAACACTAACTTTGTTTTGTCCTGTGGACAAGGGAAAATAAATGTTTAAAATAGTGCTTGTGATATCTTCTTAGTCACATTCATTACCAAATCAAGCAAAAATGTTAATAAAACTCTGTTAAAGTGTTTTTCTTGATCCATTTTATTTTATTTATTTATTTATTTATTTATTTATTTATTTATTTATTTATTTTAGCTGAGCCATCCTGCCACCTGTTGGCAGCTCAGCGGCAGCTCAGCTCGGGCCATGAATGGAACCAGCAACCCTGTTGCTCAGAGTTCGCACTCTTGAATGAGCTCTTAACCAACTGAGCCAATCAGTCGGCCTCTTGATCCATTTTAGACACAATTCTATTACATGGAAGCAATCATTTGATTCATTCATTAACATTTTACAACCATTTACTAATTGCCTAACATTCTTCAGATATCATATTAGGCCTAGTAGGAAGGATAAAGGAAAAACTACAATCTACCAGTTTCAGTCTAACAGCACTGTACAACTGTACAACTTTCTGCAATGATGGAAGTGTTCTCCTTCTGTGCTAATTAATATGGCAGCCACTGGCACATGTGGCTATTAAATGCTTGACATGGAACTAGTATATCTGTGGAACTGAAATGTTAATTTAATTTTTCTTAACAGCTTTATTGAGAAATAATTCATAACACCATACATTTCACCCATTTAAAGTATACAATTCAATGGTTCTCAGTGTATTCTGAGTTGTGCAGTCAATTTTGAATATTTTCATCACCCCACAAGAAACCTGATATTAGTTAACAGTAACTCCCAAATTCCCACAATTTCCTCAGCCCTAGGTAGCCACTAATCTTTCTGTTTCCATAGATTTGACTATTTTGTACTTTTCATATAAGTAGAATCACAATGTGTAATCTTTTGTGACTAATTTAATTTTAGTTTATTTAAATTCAATAGCCACATATGGCTAGTGGTTACCATAAGAAGCAAGTGAACTAAAAGGCCAAATACAGATGCTTAAGGAATCCTGAAGACTGAGGAGGAGATAATTCTGCAAAAGAGACATGTAGAAAACAAGTCAGAGAGATTGGAGATGAACCCAGACAAAGCTTAGCGGTAAGACAGTTCCTGAAGGGTAGGATGGTTAACAGTACTAAGTAATATAGAAGGGTCAAGGAAAGGATCTCAGTGTAGTGATAGGATAAGAATCCTGATGACAGAGGGCACTAGAATATCATTGGTGGTTGGTGAAAAAGTGTAGGCAGCTTGGCGCTTACATATCATTTAGAGATAGAGGGAAGGAAGAAAATTTCAGTATAGTTTGAGAGGGGTGTCGGGATTGATGGAGATTTTGTTTTGTTGCAATTAATAGTTTTAGTTGAGGCACAAGCCTATATGTAGGCAGAAGACAAGGATTTAGTGGACTTGAAGAGATTCAAGATGATTGAGCAGGGTTCTGGAGGATGTGAGTTAAGGTATGGCCAAGGTCATTCGCATAGGAGTAAGCCCTGCTAAGAAAGATGGACATTGTGTTTCTCAGAGGCAGGAGTAAGTGGAGAAAAAGCAGGTGAAGATACAGAGGAGTTGCTACATAGAAAGGAAGGGAACTAAAGGAACTCATATACTTAAGGAAAGTAGGAACAAGTCCTTCTGAGGGTAAAGTTTGGTTCCTTCAACCTATACTGTGATTATATGTGGAAAGGGAGTACTCAGAATTTCTCCAGAGGGGCTAGGAATGTGGGAGGTGGGAGTATCTATTGCTTATAGGTGTTGCTGTCCAAATGAATGTGTTTCCTAAAAAGGACAGACATTTTCAGGTACATTAAGCCACATGAGGTCCAGAGATCTAGAGGTGTCAATTTTCACTTACTAAAAAGTGAAAATTAACTAAAAGTTTACATCTGAGATTTTCAAAATTGAAGTGTACCTCCATCAGCTCATTCATCCATCCTCCCTCCCTTCTTTCTTTCCTTTCTTCCTGCTTTCTTTTTTTCCCATCAATTCTTCTTACACTTTGTAGAAAACAACATACCCTCTTTCTTTGCCCTACAATGAAAAAAAGATACAAAACACAAAACTTGGGGGAAATCCAATATTAATCCATATTGTAATGACTACAGAATTTCATGTTATGAGTTGTAATAAAACTCCAGTATTTTCTTTTCCTCCCCTGATGTTATAACATTGGAAGAGCCAGGAAGTGTTCTGAAAATCCCAAAAGAAAGTAAGTATGCAAATATAAGTGGAAAATGTACTAATTAGTTGATACTGAATTAATAACATTGCTTTAGAGCAAGATTTCTGTAGAAGTTTTAGAAATTAAAGCCAACTTTTGTGGTATTCTCAATATGTAAAAATATTTATGTTTTTATTTATTCTAGGCTTTTAAAACCAAGGATGGATATCTTGTAGTTGGAGCAGGAAATAACCAGCAGTTTGCTACTGTGTGCAAGGTAATTTGTAGTCATTGGGATGGGTGGATGATACATGCAATGACTCATTTATTTTCAAGCCAGGAAGGTTAAATTTTGCCTAGAAAGGTGTTGGTAAGTCTATAACTAGCTCAGGACCCCCTGTGTTAGCACTTAAATTAGTGCAATTTTCATACTTAGAAAAGCTAAGTACAGGGTCTGAATCAGCACTCTGACTCACTTACTTACTTACTTACTTACTTACTTACTTACTTACTTTATTTATTTATTTATTTATTGTATTTGTCTGTATTTTTGAAATAAAGAATCAGAGTAACTTAAATTATCCTAAAACTTGACCTGTCTATCAGTTCAGACAAAAAGGCAATGAAAAAGAAAAAAAATTAAAGGGATTTTTACACCAGGATTTTTTTCCCTCCCTCCCTTCCTTTCACAACATGAGATCTAATTAGGCCCACATATAGTTAATCTACTACCAAATTTATTTTATGTATCACTAGAAATTTTTAAGAATTTAAAATTAGCTTTGTTTAATGAGCACCTTTCTGCAAAATTCATGTTTTAAGGTTTTAGTAAATAAAGTTATATCAGAAATGTTGCTCCTCAACAAGGCCTTAAAAAAGGCCTTGGAATCATTTAAAATAATTTTATGTTTGAGTATATTCTAATTTTTCGCATTGCTTAGACATTTAAAAAAATTTTGATGTTTTTGAATTTATCTGGACTTTTGGCCTTTTCTTTTAACTTAAGCCTTTCAGTTTAAGTTCACTTTTTCCAGTTATAATGCCAGGAATGTAATCTAGTTTTTAAAAAACATTGTTTTTCTTTTTCTTACCTGTAGGATAAGGCCTCACCTACTAAGGATGTTTTCTCTGATTGCGAGAGGTTAATTTTTTTGTACTAACCATACTACCATAAGCTTTTAGTTTTATTCAAGATGCCTGTGAGTTCCTTATTCGACCCTTATTTATTGCCGTTAACTTATTATGTACAAAAATTATTTATTACCATGCCTGTTTTGTATGAGAGTAGAACTAAAAACCACAGCAAAGGGGTGGTAAGTACCACAGAGAAGGTGACAAATGGAGATAGTTCCGATTGCGGGAAGAGCTATAACATCTGAGTTGGGAAAGATGGGAACTTTTATAATGGTGACTCTGAGTAAGTGTAGAGAAAATTGATTCAAACATTTGATCTTGGATCAAAGAGTCTTTATTATGAACGGTCAATGTTAAAAATATGAAACATACGGAAGCTGTTGCCTATGAAGTCATTTGCGTACTCTAGCTGCATAGATGCTATAAACGACTACAGATTTTCTTTGTGGGCCATATGTTTTGGAGTTTTCTCTCTCCAGAAGATGGAGGGAGGAGGGAAGAGAAATTATTGGTTGACATATTCTTCTTCACTGTTGAAAATAACTGTACTGATTTCTTTTTATTTTTGATTCATTACTGCTGATTAATTTGAAACTTTTGAACTTCCTCATAAATATCCACAAGAACATTTTTTGAAAAAAGAATTTCTCAAAGAAGAATATTTGCCATAAGTTTTAGTACTAAAATGTGACTTGTTGTCATGGTGTATTCTGACACATTGTTTAAAAAGGAGACTATCAGAGGCCCTTGGAGAATGGCATACTTGACCTTGTTTTTTCTATATGTGAGTTAGGAATGATAATCCCTATTATGAGCCATTAAGACAACATCTATAAAACTCCTTGGGATCCTCAGGAGAAAAGTTTTCTGAGTATAGGATTTTAATGTTATTTACATCATTTACTAGGCATCTTGAGCAATATTGCAATCTGATTTTTTTCAACCTTAATAATTATAACCTTACATGTAAACGTCCTAAAAACATTTTCACCTAAGAGAAATCATCTGTGTCCTTATTTTGTTGCAAAGTTCTCCGTGCTCCCATATATAGTGAGTGAGTTTACTCTAAGTATTTTTTATTCAGACTTATACTGAGAGGCTTGTCATTCAACCTGGACTTATAGAAGATGAGGTCCCCAGTTTCTTTGACAGTGAGCCCATCAAAATTGTTCTTTTGCCAAGTCAGGTCCATCATGAAAGAGGTCCACTCTACCTCCTGGGGAGAAATGTAGCAGTATTGTCTGCCACGAATGAGTAGAATTCACTTAAGTCTAATCTCTGCCCCAAATAGAATTTGATATACTGTTCACTAACAATTCTTGAGAAGGGGTCCTATTAGGGAGCTCTTACTGTAAGAGATTAGAGTGAGAGCAAGAGCATTGGGTTCAAAGCTTGGGGTTAAGAAAATCTTCTTGCATCTAAAGTGAACCTCGGTTTATAACAAATCTTATTTTATGGCCCTTAACATGATACAGAAGAGTAGGAAATGTGAGCATATGTGAGCTATTTTAAACTGATTGATGCCAAAAGTAATGGGTATTCCTATTTGAAGTACATTGATGTCCTTTTAAAAGTCATTTAGACTGAAAGTTTCTTTTATTGGTGGCAATATGCATTGGTTCTCAACTTCAGCATGTGTAGGAAATCTCCTTGAGCTCCATTCCCAAAGATTTTGACTTAGTATGTCTGAGATAGGGCACAAGAAGCTTCAATTTTAATAAGCATTGTAGTTGATTTCAGAGCAGGACATTATGTTCTGAGGACATTATAACAATTCCAAGTCATTCTGTAAGTCTTGAAACTAGTCAGATGACCTCTGGTATAGTACTTAATCTTTGCTAATCATCTGTGTCTTCATGATTAGATGAAGATTATAATATGTAACTATACTAATATATAGCTTTTGGGTTTTGTAAGAGATTAGATAAGTTCAATACTCAGTACAGCCCCGGCTCACAGTATGCACATAAAAATGGCATTTATAAAAATTAGGTGTGGAGATTCTAGCTCTGGGTGAGATTGAGTGGAGTAAACACACTTCTTATTTCTTCCACGGAACACAGTGTTAAAACCTGGACAGAATGCATTGGAGCATCTATAAGAGGTCTCTGAAAAGCAGAGAATTGGGGAAGAACCCCAGAATTTGAAGTACCTCTAAAAAGGCAGGAAGTTTTCCCGTTTTTTCCTCCAGTGTGAGCATGGCTATTCTGGAGCCTGAAACCTGGCAGTGGGCACCAGGGAATAGAGATGAGCTTCAGGAAGCACCCTTCATTCTTGGGTGAGCAGCATGAGAATGAGTTCTGAGGTCAGAGAGCATGTGGAAATCTTTGTTTTTCCATCTCCATTTCCTCACGGCTCAGCTCCCAAGAAACCCTGTAATGGTTGCAGCAGGTGAGCAGGAGCCAAACCTTTCTTCTTTGTCACTGAACTGGGATTCTAGGAGAGAGGAATAAGTCCTCGTTGTTTTATTCACTGTCCTCCCATGGCCTGTGCCCCAAAAGTATGCTGGGGAGTGAGGTAACTAAAGGGGAGCTGCAAGAAACTGAAAAGAGATTGAAGAGAGGGAAGAGCTTCGGAAAGTGATCCTTGAAATTGTTTGTGTACTCCTGCGATCACCCTGGAGCTGCTCATACACTAGTCCAATCCTAATCAACACACCAAAGATATTGAGAACTGAGTTAACAGATAGATGACTGCCCAGGCTGCTATATGACCATTAAATGGGGCACATGTGGGGCAGATTTGAATAGTACGGCAAAGACTTTGAAAACTGAACCAATACTAGAACCGAATCACACAGAAGGGTGGTTGGACTTTGCAGCATGGACCTAACCAGGTCAACTGCTTGCTAAAAACAATAACAACAAAAAATTTCTCTAGCATTTAAATAAGACTCAGAGGCTCATAATATAATATTCAAAATATCCAGGACACAATCCAAAATTACTCAGTATATGAAGAACCAGAACTTGCATGAGAAAAGACAATCAGTAAATATCAATGCCAAGATGACACAGATGTTGGAATTAATTTGCAAAAATTTAAAACAGCTATTATAAAAATTCTCCAACAAGCATCAGAGACACAGTTGAAATAAATGAAAAAGTAGGGGGTCTGGTCCCAGATGACAGTGTAGGGAGATCCTGACCTCACCTCTCCCATGAACACATTGAATCCATATCTACAGGCAGAGAAATCCCCTTTGAAGAAGAACTTTGGGCTGACTGAACACCTTCTGCACATGAGAGAGAGACCACATAGACACAAATGGGAGAGATGCAGGGTATCTGGGAACCCCAAATGCACTGATGTTAAGTAGGGAGGGATCACTGAAGGGCCCATGCACAGACTCACCCACCATGAGGAACAGCAAAAAAATCAGTGGTTTAAAAGGCACCTAAATCTATATGGGAAGGAAATCCATTTACTAACCATAGAACATTTTCCAAACAGGAAGGAGACTGTGGGAACTCTCTCCAATATCAGAGACACTGGAGAGCACCATTTGTTGTGCTCCCACATTTGTCATGCCCCCACTCCATCATTTGTCTGGGGTGGGAGCACGGCATGGGTAGAAGCACAATCCAGGTGCTCTAGGCACCTGGCAAAGGCCATCCCAGTGCGCTCCAGGCCCCAGGCCCACACCAGGACTGTGGCTTGCCCTTGGAACTCCCTGTAGCCCATGCCCCCTACAACTACAGCTCCCACCCCTGTGGAGTTTGTCTCCTGAACTCCCTGCAGTCTGATTCAGCACCAACTGGCTTACCAAGGTGGCTCTGGCTCAGCTTGCCCCCAGGACTCCTCACAGCCTGAGCCGTCCCCAACAAGGACCCAGTCAGTCCTTCAGTTGCCCCTGCGACTCCCTATGGCCCATGCTTTCTGCAGCTCCACCTCCAGCTTGCCTGTCACAGACACCTAGTACATGCATTTTACAAAGGGGAAGCTCCTACACAAGGCCAACTCTGCAAGACCAGGAGAGGTTGCTGTTTTGCCTAATTCAAAGAAACAAACACAGAGGAACAGCCAAAATGAGGAGACAAACATGTTCCAAGTGAACGAACAAAACAAAAACCCAGAAAAATAACTAAATGAAATGGAGACAAGCAATGTACCTAATAAGAGTTCAAAACATTGTTATAAAAA